GCCGCCTCGGTTCACTCGCGCCGCGGCCTGGACTCCGCCGCCGCGGCCGCCCTGGGAGCCAGCCCTGCCGCGCCCCCGACCCCCGCCGCGGCCTCCGCGCTGGCTCCGGTTCAGCTTGATGATGTCGTCCAAAGACATATCCATTTTGTCGGCCATGGCGGGCGCGGAATCGGGCCTCAACTCGAGCCCGCGCGTCAGCACGCAGCGGCGTCACTTCCGGCGCCCCGCGCGGTCTTCCGGCGTTGCAGTCTCGGAGCGGACAGGGATTGGCCGCAGAGCGCGCGGGGCCGGCGGGAGCGTGCGCAGTGTGCTAGGAGGCCGTCTGGCGCGGCTTCTGAGGAGACTGGCGCGGCGGGGTCGATTTTATACCTTCCCGCGCTGCGGCACCGGAAGGGCGGGGCGCGGCGCGATTAGGGGAAGGTGCGAGGGCGGGTGGGCGTGATCTGCGCGCGGCGGGCGGGGCCTGCGCGCTTCTCTGCGGACCGGCCCTGCGCTGCGGCCGGAAGACCGTCTCCGCGCCCGGACCTCGGGGCGGTGTCCTCTCGCGCTGCACCGGGTGGAAGAGAACGCGCTCGGGGTCCGATTTCGTTTCCTTGAAAGCGAGCTGGAGTCTGCGTTCTACCCGTGACCTCGCCAAGTTGGCGCCCTCCGCTTTTGCTTCCTGAACGAGTCCGGCACCCACCGCGTTGGCAGTCTAATCCCGAAAACCGGTGTGCGCCGTCGGTGCATGTCGATCCTTCTTGAAGCAAACTGGGAAGCATCCTGTGCCCCCTCGTCCCCCTCGGAGGCAAATAAGTGCCTTTCTCCATCGGGGGCGCAGGACGTTGTCTGGCTGAGGCTTGTCGCGGCGCCCCGACTGTGATGCTCAACTGTTGTAGTTCTGCACACTGACTTGGCTCAGGTCATCAATCCTCTTCCCTCAGCCCACAGACTCCGCCGCCATGAAGGTGAAAATCAAGTGCTGGAACGGTGTGGCCACTTGGCTCTGGGTAGCCAATGACGAAAACTGCGGCATCTGCAGGATGGCGTTTAATGGCTGCTGTCCGGACTGTAAGTGTCTCCCTCTGTGCCCGCTCCCCTCCACCAGCCTTGGAACTTGTGAGTTTTAGTTTCTGTTACCGAAAGAAAAGTTGATGAAAAGTCCGGGTACTTCAGTATCACATATTATTTCTATAAACATCTTGTCAGGCTGGCCGTGATGGCACACATGTCTAACCCCCAGCTCTTGGGAGGTGGAGGCTGGAGGATCAGTTTAGTTCTCCTAGGCTACTTAGCAAGTTAGGGGCCAGC